CCCGTATGTCGAGGAGTACAAATTTCTAGATCCGGACAATTGGAAGGCTTTGTTGCATCGAGTCAAACTTCTAACTTTTGTAAGTTAATTATTCTCATTACGTGAATCTGTTTATTCTCAGCATCACAAAATAGAATACACAAACTAGTTTTTCGTAGCAATCTTTTCCTAATTTTTTTTTTCAATATGTATGATGGAAAAAAAATGAGAGAAGCACGGGAAATACAATCAAATAATAAACGTCCACACAAATTATCTCGTGGAGGCTAAAAAAAATTGGAGCAAACATATTAGTGAGAATAAATACATGGCAATAAAAGAGGCCTCCGATGATTTGTCCATTATTATTTACCCCCATCTCTTCCTTCTCGTCAGAGCTTATGGAAAAGAGCTTGTATGACGAAAAATGAAGATTATGTCTTAGAGGAAGCCAAAATTGTTGCTGACAAATCATAAGTGACATGTTTTATGTTTTAGTGTACTCGTACATTCATGATGGATAAAATTGTAACCTCTTTGTAAATTTTTCAAACCTTTTGTGCTGGATACTTCAGAAGAATAATGTACTATGGGCAGTTTCAAATCTATTGGATGGATCGATATACTCGCAACAGCTTTAGGAAAGAGCATTCTAGGCGTGTGAGGAGAGTGGAGAAGGTTGTTGGGATCAATGACTACATTGGGCGTCGCGCTGTCCAGGTATAGAGAATTGGTTCCACGAGATGTGATGGAAACCATCATCTTTCATATGTTCGAGCAAATGAGAAACTAAATGATGATGATAATGAATAAAGACTCTTTGTCTGTCCTTAGTCTTAATTTTCCGATAATCTAGAGCACAAAAGGGAGTTATGCGCCGAATATTGTATCACTAGTTGAACTTACGATAATAAAGAATGTGAGTTGTATGTGGAGAACTCACAAAGGATTTTGGTTGCATACGGACGTATTTATAACCTTAGGCCAACCATTCACCACAAGAAGATGAATGAGGATAAAGTGAAGGTTGTTGTGTCACGTGTAAATCGTTGGAGATGCACCTGTGTCGTGCTCGACAGAGGAGGTCACTAGCGTAGAGGAAACGCCAAATAGCTTCATTACTTGGCCTCATAGGTTGGTTAAAGTTGAAAATGCAAAGGTAAATAAATTACATTGAATATTATGTTTCTCACTTCATAATCTTGAATGATTATTTTGGTTCCTTTGAGTTATTTATAATAAAATGAATCATTTTATTAGTAACCTTTTATGTAAATACATTTCTTAGTCGTATATTAGTAACCTTTTATGTAAATACATTTCTTTGTCATATAGGATACTTATCAATGGAAGAAAATGACTGCAGAAATAATAATCGAACTTGAGACAGATGTCATGAGAACTTTTTGGATGGCAACGTTTGATATAAAAGATCCAATTTGCATAAATATGTCGGCTGAGATTGATAGGGAAAACATTTGTACGTATTTTAGAAGGATATAGTGGAGATGTTGCAAAGTAAAAAACATTGCATTTCTATATAAATGAGAAATTTATTTACTTAAAAAAGTTAGTCATAAAATGATTCATTTTATTAAAAATAACTAGTAGGAACCAAAAAACCATTCAAGAATATGGAGTGAGGAAGATATAACTCAAAGTAAGTAGTTTTACTTACTTTTGCGTTTGCAACTTTAACCAACCTACGAGGCCAAGTAATGAAGTTATTTGGTGCTTCCTCTACGGTAGTGACCTCCTCTATCGGGCACGGCACAGGTGCATCTCCAACGACTACACGTGACACGACAACTCTCACTTTATTCTCATTCATATTCTTGTGGTGAATGGTTGGCCCAAGTTTATGAATATGTCCATATGTAACCAAAATCCTTTGTGGGTTCTCCACTACAACTCACATTTTTATTACTGTTGAGTTCAACTAATAATACAACAGTCGGAGCACAACTCCCTTTTGTGCTTCGGCTTATTAGAGAATTAGGACTACGGACTGAGAGTCTTTATTCACTATCATCTTCATTTATTTTCTCATTTGCTCAAACCTATGAAAATGATGGTTAAAATCTCATCCCGTGAAGCCAAATATCTCCCTATAGCTCGACCGCTCAAAGTAGCCTTTGATCCCAACAACCTTCCCCACTCCCGCCACATACTCGAAATGCTCTCTTTTATAAAGTTGTTGCGAGTATATTGTTTCTCCCAACAGATTTGAAGTTGCCCTGAGTGCATTGTTCTTTCTAAAGTATTCTGCACGAAAGGTTTGGAAAATTTACAAAGTAGTTACAATTTTATCCATTCATGAATGTATGAGTAAACTGAAACATAAAAACATGCCACTTACTATTTTGTCAGAGACAATTTTGGCTTTTTTTGAGACATAATCTTCATTCTTCGTCATACGAGCTCTTTTCCATGATTTATGACTAGAAGGATTAGATGAGGGTGAAATAATAATTGACAGGACTTCTTTTCTTGCCATTTATTTCTTCTTACTAATATGTTGCTCCAATTTTTTGTAGCTTACACGAGATAATTTATATGGACGTTTATTATTTGATTGTATTTCTTGAGCCTGATTACTTTTTTAATGTTAGGGAAAGATTGCTACGAAAAACTAGTTTGTATGTCTTATATTTTACCAATCAAATGCTGGGAATAAACAAATGTTAAATAATTAATTTACAAAAAAGTTAGAAGTTTGACGAGATGCAACAAAAGCCTTCTAATTGTTCGGATCTAGAAATTTGTACTCCTTGACATACTAGAGCGCACCCTTCTTCTCTCCAAATATGTAAGGATTGAGGCTAGCTTTGAAGGCCTTCTAAGTTCTAACATTCCCTAGTATTTGAAAGAAATTTCTTTTTCAATTTCTCATTATTTGACACGTCGAACTTCTCTTACAAAATGTAAATATTCTTAAAAAAAAAAAGGTACGAGTGTGTCCTTGTACTGCAACATTAGTAAGTAAGAATACAAAATTAATTTTAGATTTGATTTACTATTTTGATTAATAGCAATAGACAAACAAATTAAAAAGTGTAGCAGATAAATATTTTTATCTTTTTTTTTTTTGGATTGGCAAGTGATGATAATTTGTCCAAAACAGAATGTTATGGTTTGGTTGTGCTTGTTGAGGAAAAAACCCAAAAAAGAATTGAAAGACAAAATCTATTTGTTTGTATTTAAATTGATAAAATATATCGCTTTTGTAGTTAACTTTTCTTACTTTGCTGAATATATTTTAAATATATTTATCCTTTATATTTTGACTTATTTTGTCTTTCAATTGAACAATTGCTAGCTAATTTCCTCTGTGGCGCAATTCAAATGAATCATTCTTCTGGTCTCTCATAGCCCATAGAGACAGGTCAAAACTATCGAGCCTCTCCTGGTAATAAATATTTATTAATGTTAAAATGCATTCATGCATACCACATGGTTATGGGAAAACGTATGAAATAAAGAAGCCCACATGAGTTTTTTCCACAGGTAAATTTATTGAATGATGTTAAGTGTGTTGATTTTGGAGCATTCGTATTTCTTTGTTGGTATGTTTCGATTAAGTTTGTGTAATATAAATGACGTTTGTATGTTTTTCGTACAACTGTCGAAAACAATTTGGAGATGAGGCATGTGGATATTTTATTATGAGGTATATGTTCGAGATTACATCACTTGACACTGTTGACTCATTCGATGAGGTAACTTTTTATTAAAATCAACCTTTACCTTTATTCGAATCACAAACTTCAATATAGGTTATTGAGAGTATATATGTTTGTATCATGCATATATTGTGTAGTGAGCCATATTCAGATGATGAAATTGATGATACAAAGAGGCATTAGACGAAATACTTTCTGGAAGTCAGTTCAATTAGAAAATAGACTTGATCAGTTTACTTATGTTTTGTGGATTTTGTACTTTATAACAAATTGTGTTTGACGACTATTGTTGGTGTTGTAAATTTGAGAATTATTGTTATAACTTAGTGATGTTGAAATATTGTGGTTGATAGTACTTTCATTTATCATATTGGTGAACTATGGGAATATTTTGAATGTATGAATATTATCATTTTATGGTCATAGATTTTAAGATTCACATGTAAAAAAGTAATGTATAATTTAATAAAACAAAACCGCTGTAAAAGAGTATGATTTTACATCGGTTTTAAAAATCAATGTAAGAGTGGCAACATGTTACATTGGTTATTGAATACGCTGATGTAAGCATAAAACTTCTGTCATCGGTAAAAACCGATGTAAAGCAAAACATGTTTGTATTTGTTTTTGTCAATAACCGATATCACAGTAAGCATGTTCACAACGATTTTATCAATAACCGATATAAGCAAAAGATTGTGCGCATCGATATTCATATAATAATCGATGTGAACTCTAGTCTTGTGACATTGATTTTTATGAATATTGATGTTAAAAATCTTCTAAAGTTATTCAAAGAAACGATGTGACAAAATGTGAACAAATATTAATACAAGAGTTGTCAAAAGCATTTGACAACTTCAGTTGTAAAAGGTATGTATAAAGAGTGTCTAGGGTTCAACTCATAACATTGTTACTCATTCTAACAATACAAGCTTTCTCTCTCGTTTTTACATTTTTCAGTTCGCTCTTCGATCTGCACCATCGTTCTTCAGTTTCTTCAATACACAGCATCAGAGGAGCATTGATGTCAATTTAACTATAGACATTTTAACAATAATTTAAGTAATAAAAAATGATATCAAATACATAATGAACAATTATAATTAAGGTGTACTCGATACAATCAAGCACGTAGTAATAATAATAATCATCATATATCACACCCCACCACCCACCCACCCCCACTCAAGTGTGTCTTACTCATTGTGTATATATTTAGAGAGTGTTAATTAGGTCATAAATCTCACACACTATTAGCTAGTAAACTTTTTTTATTTGCTGATTTGCTAGGAGAAAAAAAGAAAAGAAAAGGAGAGACAGAGATTTAGAGAGATTATGGCCGTGGTTGCGACAACGATACTATGGTCGATGATCACAATTTTATCATCGATTTGTTCAGTAGGATTTGGTCTGAGTTGGAATTATTACGACAAAAGTTGTGCTAATGTCGAGAGTATAGTAGCCAAGGCCGTTAAGGATGCTACTGCAAATGACAAAACTGTACCCGCCGCACTTCTCAGGTTGCACTTTCATGATTGCTTTATCAGAGTAAGAATGCAATAGAACTCTTCACCAACTATCATACATATATATGCATATACATTCAATGAACAAATAGTATGCATACAAATTATATGATAAAATTTAATAGTTACATGCTGTCATAGTGTCATTTATGAACTTAAAGGGTTGTGATGGTTCGATTTTATTGGAGTCGAGAGGTGGAAAGAAAGCGGAAAGGGAAGGAGCTCCGAACCGATCTCTCCATGCATTTTATGTGATAGAAAATGCTAAGAGAGCTGTTGAAGCCGTCTGCCCGGGCATTGTGTCGTGTGCGGATATCTTGGCCTTTGCTGCCAGAGACTCTGTCGTTCTAGTAAGCAATTCTTTTCATATTCGTCTAATATTGTTCATTTTCTTATATATCTTATATCATTTTATACCTTCTAACAAAGGGGATCAAGTGAAAGTAATAATCAAATAGTAGTAAGTAGCTCAATTTCGATATATGTATCCTAAAACAAGGCAAAGATTTTACATATATATTAACTCAGCTGGATATCCAAAAATAAGATAAAATTTGGTGAAAATTTTGAGAGTTAAATCTTGTAATCATAGTTTTTTGACCCGGACTGGCCCGGCGGGTCGACCCTGAGCCAGAACCGGTCCGGGTGGGCTATTTGGAATGGGCAACAAAGGACCCGGCCTTGACCCGGGGCATTGACCCAGCCGTATTTTTTTATTTTTTTATTTTCTTTTAAAAAAACTATGTATGTATGTTTATATGGTAAAAATATTTATCATGAGATACATATTATTAACACTTTAATGTACAAATTTTATACACAAAATATTTAATTTTGTTACTTTTATGTATATTTATATGACAAAAATACTCTATATATAATTTAAAAAGTTTTAAAATTACTTATTCGATTCAGCAATTGACCTAGTGACCCGACGGTTAAATCTGTGACTTGGAGACCTTCCGGGTACATTACCGGGTCGGGTTTAAAAAACTATGCTTGCAATTACCCGTGGCGCTGCATGACTGGCGCAAACAACGGCGTGATTATATATAAATTCTATTAAAAAATAGTTGTTGCATGTATTTCATGTTATTTTTAATTTAGTACCATATGTTACGTACTATGATGATTTACACATGTGCTATTTGCATATAGTCTTGTGGTTCTTAAAACAATGTTCTAACTAAAAATAACATAAAGCACGATGAAAAAATAACATTACTCAGCAATTAAAAATAATGTTTCTCACAATTTTTTAAACTAAAATATAGTTATCATATCCTATATAGATGAATAATTTTAGTTGTCTTTATTATGTTCTCATATCCTATATGTATTTAAAAAAAAATAAAAAAAAAATTAAAAAAAAATAGATGTACAATAGCATTTGTATAAATAATAGCGTTATATAATATTAAAAGTAGGGTAATTCGAAATAAAAAAAATAAAAAAATGCAGCTCTATCTAAGAATAAAAATATGGCATTAATTCTTTTATAATTCCATCTTTTAAGCCGATTCTTGATTTCTACTTGCATGGTGTTGTATTTATTAATAAATTATTTTTTAACTTTTTGTAGCCCTCTATCTATGTCGAAGAATTTAAAAAAGTAATGTGATCTTTAGAGCTTCCATAGTTTTTATGTAAAGGCAACTTAATTAAGATTTTTAAACTCATGTTATTGATTTTGATATATATATTGTAATTTAGGCGTTCTTAAAATTATATTATAATTTTTAAATTAGCTACTAAATAATATTTGTTATTGATTTTTTTTGTACTAATATGATTTTATTTTTCTGTAAAGAATATTATAAATAAAAGTCAACCAATGTTGACATTAAAAGAAATATCCAATACAAAAAAAAATGTTGATATTTCAAAAATATGTATTTAATAAGATTAGAAATAATGTGATAACAAAGATGCACCTTGTGTACCCACATATATATTGATTTGTTCGAATAACATGTATACACACACTAAAAATGGTAGTGAAATTAATTAATTTTATTGTTTGCTGTATTTTCGTTTATACCTTCACAAAATCATTTCGTGACGAGACCGTAGAATTTATTATTTTTAATAATTCCTCTCGACTGAATGGAGCCCATTTAACATTATGCACATGTGAACTATCATGGTAACAAATTGCAATTATTGTGTCCAAAAACAAAACATGCCATAATTACTCCTCCACTGGCATGCGCTACTTTTTGAATTAATGAGTGGGTGTTAAATTGGTACTTCTAATAATTGCTTTTAGCATGGAGCCCAACATTGCTCCCCAATCCAGTCATTATATATTTTTGGAACTTCACAATATATGCTCTTTTCTTATTATTATTCATAAAAATATAATGTATATAAATAGTTTGCATATAAATTTTAAGAGTAAATTGCAGTTTTGATACTTAAACTAAAGTTCATTTCGGAATCAGTACCTATTTTTTAACATTTGCAAAATCAGTACCCAAACTTTCATTCTGTTAGCAACGTTAGTACCCGGCCGTTAGATCAGGCACGACCTAGGTCCACGCCGGTTCAGGGTCCATGAAACCCAACATGTTGGCCCGTGTTTTGGGCATGTCTAGACTGGGTTGCTAGTCGCGTTATGACCAAGTGAGTTCACAGAACATTGCTTGTAACGTAGAAATTAACTGCATTATTTCAGCCAAAAACTTGAAGCTAGTGCTTTAAAAATAAATTGAGAGATTAAGAATAATTTTAAAATCACCAAATATACAAATTAAAAAAAAAAAAGAAAAACTAATCATTTAAGAAAGAACCCTAAAAAACTTGAACATAAATCCTTAAAAAATTTTAAGAACCTCTTAAAATTTGCAAACAACCATTGAATATTGCAAGTTAAAAAGTAGCAAAATAAAGAGAAGCAACAGAATTTGAGTAATAGCTTTTTATTTACTACTATAACAATTTGGTTGCATTTGTTTAGGATTTTGACTAATATTTTAATAGTTTTAAAAATTTTCACATTTAACACGAATACTAGATGAAATCTTAAGTTTGTAGGTGAGATTTGAAGTGAGATTTCATATATAATTTTTTTCTTTTGAAATCTCAGTAAGTTTTAAAGTCTTAACAAAGCTCAACAAATAATTCAGTACCCTAGCTGTGAGACTTTTTAAAATCTCAAATAAAATACCTCGAAACTTTTAAAAAATTTTTAAAAGTCTTTAGAAATTTCAAAGAAAATACCCCTTTTTTAGTCAAAAATTTATTAAGATTTTGGGTTAAACTGCAGTCCGGAGGACCCACATGGAATGTTCCAAAAGGAAGGAAGGACGGAAGGACATCGAAAGCCACAGATACTACACAGTTGCCATCTCCCACTTTCAACATTTCTCAGCTCCAACAAAACTTTGCTCTAAGAGGCCTCTCCTTACAGGACCTCGTTGCTCTTACAGGCAATTTATAAATTATTCATATGTTAATAATATTTTTTTTGCCATTTGATGGTTTGTGTGTGTGTGTGAGAGAGAGAGATATAGAGAGAGAGAGAGAGATTTATAATCATTTTTTTAAAAGGACTATTTTTCTATCTTTTCATTTTTTTTCGAAACAGCAGAATTCATTCACTAAACACGTTATTACAACTGGCTCACTAGCCAGAATAGGAGGATTACCCAAGGCAGCCTAGATACTATAACACACATTACAAAACGAACAAGAAAAAAAAGCAAGTATGATAAACGAATTGCATATTATTAATCTAAGTAGGTTGATTACTATATGTGTGCTGCAGGTGGGCATACCCTAGGGTTCTCACACTGCTCATCATTCGAAAACAGAATCTACAACTTTAACTCGACCCACGACACGGACCCGAGCATGCACCCGTCTTTTGCGGCGAGCCTAAAAAGCATTTGCCCCGTCAACAACAAGGCCAAGAATGCGGGCACCTACATGGATCCTTCTTCTACCACCTTCGACAATACCCACTATAAACTCATACTCCATGGTAAAACCCTTTTCTCTTCTGACCAAGCTCTGCTCACCGAGCCACAAACAAAAAGTTTAGTCTATAAATTTGCTACCTCCAAAAAAGCTTTCCACATTGCATTTGCCAAGTCCATGATCAAGATGAGCAGCATCAACGGGGGACAAGAGGTCAGAAAGGATTGTAGGGTTATAAACTGAAAAAAGAGCTATATATATATATTTACATATTAGTAATTAGCCAAATTTAGGCATATATACCATTGCACTATATATATGAACTAAATGTCCTTTTTTTTAATGTTCGTTCCGTTTGTATGAGAAGAGAAATTTTAAATATATTTGTTGGTGTTTACGTATTGGAAAAAGTAACTTTTTACAAATTTATTTTATTTTTTTGATTTCATGATATGATGTGGCATAATTTGGATGGTTAAGATGAAAATAAATGTATGGCTCAAATTTGACTCGGTGAAAATTTTAAGTAATGTTGCCAACTATAATTGCACATTTAATAACATTGCCCTTACGTTTTTGAACGGTAATCTATACGTGTTGGTCATTTTAATTCATTTTATAATTATAAATTTCGCTCTCTTTTCATCTTTATTTTCACTTTTCCTCGTTAGCATTTGATTCGCTCCTTTGTAGTTTTTCATTTAGTTCATAAACGAGTGAAAATAAATAATAATGCAAAAACACGAAATGAGCATATATTCTAATAGGTAACGAATTCTTCTAAAAAATTTAAAGTCCAAAATTAATAATGAATGTTCAATGATACACATACAAGAACAACAATTAAACAATGGAAATGTATAGATATATAAAATGATGGTAGTAATTATATATCATGTTAAGGATCCAACTAAAAGTAGTTACCATTGCATCGATGCTACCCCTACGGATAGTACCCTCACATGGTGCCAATATCTAAATCCACTTATGCTATTTCAATTTGTTTAGTTGAAATGGTAATTGGTTATAGGATTAATAGCGGGCCCAACACATTTCCTCGAAATAAAATTAACTCTCAATTTTTTTTTTTTTACCTTTTTTACTATGCTATTGTCGGGTTGTATTGTAGTGGGCAGTAGTATTTTTGTATTTTTATTATTTGTATAATATTAATTTCTGCAATTGTTATGGAATATATGGGGAAGAAGATGAAAAACGTGAGGGAGAAGTAAGAGAGAGAGATAGAGAGAGAATAGAGAGAGAGAGTAGGAGAGAGAAAGTTGTTAGGAAAATGACATCATGATATTCCATTCTTCATCATCCATACTTAAATACATGTGCTAATGGATAAAAGGCTTAAACCCAAAAAAAATAGCTAACTTATGCCTCAGCCCAACACAAATTGTCTTGCAGCCCAACTAACATAATAACTAGCCCAAATAACAAGACCAAAATAAAATGGAAAATAGGGAAATTAAAAGGAACCAAATCGACAACCCTAAATTTCAACCCATTTCAACATTCCCCGACACTTCCCGGCCAACTCCTTTAGATCCGCCATCGCCGCCGATAGAATCCATCACAATACCCCCGGCCAAGATCGGACCTTGTCCCCAAGGGCCCCAGTTCGCAAATTTCCGAATCAAATAAGCATCACCTTCCCAAGTAGGCTTTGATGGATCGCCATTGACCCACTGGACGAGAGACTGGGGAACGTCGACGCCCTTCCGGCGGATGGTGCGACGGTCCACAATGCGTAAAGGTGAGATCTTGAAGTGTCCATCAGAGTCTGTTGTCAGTAAATCAAGAGAAGGTAAGCTTTTCAGATCTATCCTCTTCTTGAGCAAAGAAACGTGAAAAACTGGGTGGATTTTTGAGTCTGGTGGTAAGTCTAATTTGTAAGCCACAGATCCAATTCTTTCCAGAACTTTGAACAGTCCAAAGTACCGAGATGATAACTTCAAATTTTTTCGCAATGAAACTGAGTTTTGCTTAAAAGGCTGTAATTTGAGAAAAACCTCATCCCCAATTTCAAAATTGCGCTCTTGTCTATGCTGATCCGCAAAGACTTCCATTCTATGTTGTGCTTTGGATAAATTTTCTTTGACTTGCTGGGAAATTAGCTGCCTTTGTTGAATCATGTCATGTGCATCTGCATTTGCTGTGTCTAGATAGGGGCCAATAGTAAAGTTAGGAGGAGGGTAGCCATAGAGAACCGAAAATGGAGTGAGTCTCAAACTGGTATGAAAATTGGTGTTGTACCAAAATTCTGCCAAGCTCAGCCATTTGACCCACTGCTTAGGATTTTCATGAGCCATGCAACGGAGGTAAGTCTCCAAACATTGATTTACCCTCTCTGTCTGCCCATCAGACTGTGGGTGGTAAGCTGAAGTCATATTTAGGTTAACCCCAGTAGTTTGAAAAGATCCTTCCAAAAGTGACTGGTAAAGATCTTGTCTCTGTCAGTGACAATGCTAACAGGTAGTCCATGTAGCTTGTAGACACAATCCAAGAAAACTTTAGCTATATCTTGAGCAGTGAAAGGATGTGCTAGGGGAATAAAATGTGAATATTTGGAAAACCTGTCCACCACCACCAGGATCACATTTTTGCCATGTGACTTGGGTAAACCTTCAATGAAATCCATGGATATGTGAGTCCATGCATTCTCTGGAATAGGTAGAGGCTGTAATAGCCCAGGGTAGGCACCAACTTCAGGTTTACTCTTTTTGCAAGTTTCACATGATTTTACCTATGCATTGACATCTTGTTTCAACAATGGCCAGAAAAATACCCATTTAACCCTCATGTAGGTACCATTAATTCCGGAGTGTCCCTCATATGAGGAACTATGCATGGTTTTCAAAATGTCCTCTCTGAGGGAAGCATCTGCTCCCACAACCACTCTACCCTTGAACCTTATAAGCCCTTCTTGTACTGTGAACCTAGGGTAGAGACTGTCAGACTGAGAGTGTGATGTGAGTATCTTTTGGCAGAAAGGGTCATGTTCATAGCTGTTTAGAACTTCCTTCACCCACAAGGGTTTCACTGTAGTGATAGCTTGACATTCCTCATTGGAATTGTCTCTCCTTGAGAGTGCATCAACCACTTTATTCTCAGCCCCTTTCTTGTACATAATTTCATAGTCAAGCCCCAACAACTTAGTAATCCATTTATGTTGCATTGGGTTCATAGATTTCTGATCCAGTAGATACTTTAAGGCTTGTTGGTCAGTCTTGATAATGAACTTGTGACCCATCAGATAGCCCCTCCACTTTTGCACAGCCATCAAAACTGCAAGGAACTCTCTTTCATATATGGAGAGAGCCTGATTTTTCTGGCACAACCCTTTACTCATGAATGCTATTGGCCTTCCTCCTTGCATCAAAACTGCCCCTACACCTGTGCCACAAGCATCAGTTTCTAAGATTAAGGGCTGTGTAAAATCTGGCATGGCCAGAATAGGAGCTGTTGTAAGTGCTTCCTTCAGTTGTAAGAAGGACTTTTCAGCTTCTAGGGTCCAAACAAACTTGTCCCCTCTCAATACATTGGTCATAGGCTTACTGATAACCCCATACCCCTTAATAAACCTCCTATAGTAGCCTGTCAAGCCCAAAAAACCTCTCAATTGCTTAAAGTTCTTGGGAGATGGCCAGCTCACCATACTTGAAATCTTCTTAGGATCTGTTGCCACACCTTTGTGTGAAATGATATGTCCCAAGTATTCCACCTCAATCTGCCCAAATTGACACTTAGAGAGTTTGGCAAATAGGGTATTCTTTCTCAAAACAGTGAGCACAATCTCTAAGTGTTCAAGATGCTCTTGCCAAGTAGGGCTGTAAACCAATATGTCATCAAAGAATACTAGAACAAACCTTCTTAGGTAGGGCCTGAAAATCTGGTTCATGAGTGATTGAAAGGTGGCAGGTGCATTGCACAAGCCAAAAGGCATAACCAAAAATTCATAATGCCCATTGTGTGTAGTAAATGCTATGAGTTCCCTGTGCACTGGTTTCATCAGAATTTGAAAGTATTCAGATCTTAAATCAATTTTAGAAAAGTACTTGGAACCATGCATTTCATCCAACAGTTCATCAATTAGTGGAATTGGGTAGTCATGCTTGATAGTAAGGGTATTTAGGTATCTGTAATCAACACACATTCTCCATGTGTTGTCTTTTTTCTTCACCAGTATCACAGGAGAAGCAAATGGGCTCTGAGAATGTTGAATTATCCCAGCACTTAGCATCTCTTGCACCTGCTTTTCCACTTCATCCTTTTGGGCATGTGAAGTTCTGTAAGGAGCTTGATGTTTAGGTACACTTTCTGCCTTGAGGATAATCTGGTGCACAATCTCCCTTTCAGGAGGTAAACCTGTAGGTTCCTGAAAAATGTCCTGAAAATGTGATAAGAGATCCTGCAGTTTAGGATTTACTGACCCCTTGTCTTCCTCCATACACAAAAGAAATATTTCCTCAATTTCATTGCAATCTTGGTGCACCATTTTGTACAATGCTTCCCCAGAAATGAAATTGCAATCCCACTTTGAGGTATTAGCTTGCAGCTTGATCTTTTTGCCCAAAACAGTTACTGTCACTTTCATTCTATCATAGTCCAATCCTATGGGTGTGCAAGTCTTTAACCAATCCCCTCCAAGTATCAGATCACAACCTTCAGTTTGCAAGAGCCTCATAGAATATTGGAAGTTATGCATGCCCCATTTGAAACCCTCCACACACTTAGAGCTGAGCATTTTGTGGCCATTTGCCACCTTCACCATAATGGGCTTGACTGTTTGCAGATTGCAGCCCAACTTGTGTGCAATAGCCTCCTGAATGAAACTCAGGGTGCTCCCAGAATCAATAAGAATATGCAATTTGTGCCTATTGCAGTCCCCAGTGAGCCTCATAGTAGTTAGCCCTTCTCCACCATTTAAAGCATTTAGAGACATTTGAATTTCTTCAATGTCACTTTCTTTTCTTTCCTCCTCAGTGTAGTCCTCATTTTCCAAACATGAAAGTTCTTCTTCCTCTGTCATGATCATATAGGTGATTCTGTTTTTACACCTGTGCCCCACCACATAAGGCTCATCACAATTATAACACAACCCTTTTTCCCTCCTTGCAACCATCTCATGAGCAGTTAGCATCTTGACAGGTGGTTTAAATTGGTTATTTGTGTAGGGAGTCTTAACAGATGATGGTTCACTTTTCCTAAAATTTGAGTTTTGGTTATTGAACCTG